AAAGACAAGAAATTTCTGTTGGGTTGGCTTGCAGAGGTACCAGGATGGGCTTCTGATGTCCTGTTAAGAATACTCTGATGGGGGGGGGGGGAGTGGGGAGGGTTTTCAGGAACAACTATAAAGAACACATGGACAAAACCAAGGGAGAGTGGAAATAGGGGAGGGACGGAGGGATGGTTGGGGTTGGAGGGTAGTGGTGGGGGATAAATGCAGACAACTATACTTGAACAAGAAAAAAATAATTAAAAATTAAATAATAAATTTAAAAAAGAATACTCTGAACTTTAACCTTAAGAGCAGTGCGAACTCACTTTCATTGGCAAGACATTGGTCCCTAAAATTAGAAAGTTGAACCAATTACACAGGGCGGGGCAAAAGAAAGTTTACAGTTTTTCATATGGACAGTATACACTAATCAATAAATAATAATACAAGAATAAACTGCATTTCGTGTATTCACAACTGTAAACCTACTTTTGCCCCAGCTGTATTTTTCTCTCTGTGTCATATCAGGATTTAATCAGTCTTAGTCAATACTGCTCTTTCTCTATCTCCTTCATTTCCAGCACTTTGAAATTTTTTGTTATTTTTACATTAAGAGAGATGTTTGTTTTATTTCAGATCAAACTGAAAAACAACTGCACTCATTTCAGTTACCTGGGACACTCCTATTTCTCCTTACCTCAGGGAAAGAAGCAAATAGAAAAACATTCACCACTAAATTCTTCACTTGCAATCTTATGGGCATTTCTCTATGGCCTTTTACATAATACAGAAGAAGTAGAACCTGTGTAACCTCAAGCAACTTGCTTAACCTGGTTTATTTAACTGTAAGAGGAAAGTAACTGTCACCTACCCTCAAAAATTCTTATGAGGGTTAAATAAAATGCCTTATGTACACTGTTTAGCACAATGTCTGGATTATAATCATTAAACCATAGTTACTTTTATCTTTAAGCATTACTGAACAATATATGTAAATGTGAATGATTACAACTTTGAATTTGTATTTTATTACAATTTTAATCTCATATATATGACATTTGTATATGGTGTATACATACACATAGACTTTCAATAAAGGTTATCTCTGAGGCAAAGGCCTAAAGAATCAGGGAGAAGGGAGGAGTACTTTTTATACAGGGGTATTATGTAGGGGGGAAAAGGTGAAGAACCTAGGTAGGATTAGCCTAGAAGAGAACTGGGCTAAGAGGGGAAACAGAATCTATTCTCTGATTTTCAAAGGGTGTCCATATAGACAAAGGATTGGATTTATTTGTACCTAGGGGGCTGAAAGACTGATTTTGCCAAAATAAAAGAAAGAACTCTATACTGGTGCAAACTGTCCAAAGGTACTCCCTCAGAAGACAGTGACGGCTCCACCACAGGTGTGCATCACAGGCTCTGTGGCCACCTTTTGGAAGCTTGATTCAAGTGATTCTCTTTCTAAGTCTTAAAAACCTGGAAGTCTCCGAGAGTTTGAAATATGACAGAGGTGCATCTGTATATGGTTATCCAGTAACATTTAAACTTTAGCTGCACAATAAGCAAGTTAAATAAATCAACTTTGCCTTCAAATTACAAGCGCCTTAAAATGAGCAGTTATTCCTATGTAATATTAGTACATGTATACTTGTAATATTTCAATAATGTATGAAGTTATCCAAATAAAGATTTCATTACGTTAAAGCCCCATTCAAAATGCAGATGCTGTGTTTAAACACTACTTAGAATAGTATTTGTTAAAAGTAATTTTTGTTTCCAATCAGATCCACATGAAACATGAAAGTATTTCAGCATCCTTCATTATCCTTTTACTTTTAATTGGCCTGCTGCTTTATGGCTTGTCATTATGAATTTGGTAAGTAAAACCTACCGTTAAAACACTTCAGTGACTAAAGATTGGGAGTTCTGCTTTTGCAAATTCTACTTTCCATGGAAGGTGAAATGCACACAAGAGAGATGTGGGATTTCAGAGCTAATGAATTGGGATAGCTAAAGTGCCACTAGGATATGAGAGGATGACCTTTGAATGACAATGTTTTCTAGTGAAAAATTCAAATGAAGAGTAAGTGAGCCAGGGCAGGTAGAGAGCATTGCAGGTTATGTCTGGCTATGGGGTTGCTTTAGAATCCACCACTTGAGAATCTGTTGACTTAGACAGTTATTACACTCTGCATCTGTCGCTCTAAAAACACTCATCTAAAAATGGAGGGGAAAGAGGCATACCACTTCAACAATCAGTTGGTATGCCTACACAAAAAGACAGTCTAGTTCAATGGGGAAAAACTTAGACCTTAGAGTCAGATACCCAAATCTGGCTGTCACTAAGTAGCTCTTTTACCTTGAACAAGTCTCCCACCATGTCTAAGAATAAGTTTCCTCATTTGATAGGAAGAGCACAGACAGCAAAGTAAAGAAAAAATGCAAATATATTCTCATGTTGTTTTAAGACTCAAACTAAAGCTCTAATATGATTCCCCTTTTATAATGAGGAACTAGCTTAAATATTTTCTAGGTTTTACAGCTAGTAACAATAGTGCAGAGGTTTGTTCCCAAATCCCTAACCACAGGTACATGCTGCTTACTCTACCTAATAGAATTCTGGGGAAATGAAGTAAGATCACTGTCCAAGTGTTCTATCTGTTACAAACACCTATAAACATATTAGGCATTATTAAGACTAAGTGAGAGGGACCTCAACACATTTTCTCCATTCATAAATATTTCTGTTAAGAGCAAAGGCTCCGTGAACCACCTAGCCTATGCAGTATGTAACAGTGCAATCATTTAAATGAATGGGCAGATTAATGCTACTTTAGAAATGATCCATGAGTTTAATTAAATATCTTAAACAAATGGATACATTTACACTGTGCAAGGCCACTCACTGAGAATCTTAGAAGAAAGAACTATAATTAGACAAGACAGATATAGTTGCACTAGTAAATAAAGCAGGGAACTTGCTAAAGGAAACCCCACTCTCAGGGTGCAATCCCACATTCAAACTGAACAAAGAGCATCCTCCCAAACTGCATTCTCAATTGCAAATATGCATCAAAATAGTCATTAAATACACAGTACTGACACAACAAAGCCACGGCATTCCCCGAACTAGACGGGGAGTCCCTGCAACTTCCTCTATAGTGCCAGTTTGATCAAGTTGAACAATCAATTTTCTTGGTAATAGCACTTTAGAGATAACAATATTCTTAATAAAAATGCTTTCCCATTATAATAGTTTATCAAGACAATTCACTCTTCTTCTCTATACCTATTGGAAAACTCTCATTTAGTGAAAAAGATACTTTTTAAAGAGACAGGATTTTACCATAGGCTGCTATGTGATTGACTTACTGCCCCTCTTAAATGACCACCCCCTAGAGGCCAGAAGTGTTTCTCATTCACTACTATATTCCCCACAGTGCTTAGCATGGCACCTGGCATATAACAAACTTGGGAAATGTGTTCAACTTATTCTAGAGTGTAACCTACATTAAACACAAATTCCAATTTGAAAAATAAAAATCCCTATAAAAGTTAAACACACAAAATATCTCAATTCTTTCATTTCCGTAAAGTGGGACTCCTCCACACTCATTCGGAAACTGTTCATTTTCATTTCAGTTGTTTGTTTACATGCCCACTGGGTTCCAGGAAGGATTACAGTGGCATCGTCTGGAGTACATGAAAATTTTAAGATTTAAAGGAGATGAGATGCAGCCTAAAGATGGTTTGGACTTTGATACATCACAGGTTTGGAAAAACATAAATCAAATAACCATATACAACATCAATACCAATGCTTTTGAAACTGTCTGTCCCATCTTAGCTTTAATTTAAAGTGACCCTGAGACCCTGAGAGGGCGTCCCACCAATGCCTTATCTAACTTCAGGGAGAGTTTGCATGGGTGAAATTCGTTTTCAGGCCAGAACACTTGAACATTTGTTGACAATATTTCATCTCTCTTATGGGACAAGAAAAATACAAAATGGTAGCCCAAGGAGAGCCATTACACAATTAAACAGAAGCAAGCATTTGTTTGCAAAGTACAGGAATTAAATTCGGCTTAGTTTCGTTACTTCCTAAACAACCCAACATGAACCTTCCCTCTGGAGTCCTCAGTTGTCCAGTATTAAAGTTATCAATGTAGAAGAAGCCACTGAGCATTTCAATTATACATTATCTCTATGTAAACAATCCTCAGATCCCCGTTCCTTGAAAAAGTAATAAACAGCTATAATAATACTCCTGGTCCAACATGGATATATTAAATCACTAAAACAAAATTTTCAAGAGCAAAATCCAACTTGTTAAAAATGCTTTGTAGAAGATAGTTGAACACCTAGATACAAAGTTTGGAGGCATTTCCATTTTCCTTACATGTAAAGGTTTATGAAATATTAATACACTCAATGCAAAAGTATAAACAAGATCAAAGCCAACAGGAAAAAAAAACTTTCATTGTGCAAATCATAAAATCTTTGTAAAAGGGCTCTAGATCCCAGAGGTAAAAACTGCTCAAGGATCAGCATTAACCCTAAGCAGATAGCATAACTGAGAAGAGGCAGAGCTTCACACAATTGCAAATAACATCAGCATCACCAGAACAACTGGAATAAATAGCGTCCCCAGGCTGCACTAGCTCTTTCACCTCTCCCGCTCCACCAGCACCGTAAGGAAAGCAGCTGCCTCTCCCCGCCTTCTTCCCAGCCACTCCTCGCGCCATTCCCTCCCCTCCCCTCTCCAACCCTCCCCTCCCTGCTCCCAACTGGTGAATTCAGCAGCCCAGCACGATTAAGAGGTGCTCATTAAGGTCACTGGGCCTCCAGACTGATCTAACGTTTCTTAGCTCCCTGGACTAGAGAAATTAGAGACGCGACACCCTGGTGGTATTAGATGCCTTCGCCTCTATCCAGCATCTCCCAGGCTAGAGCTGGGGTGGGGAGGTTCGAGGACCACGCAGAGTTCAGCCTGATGCTCCTCAGGGCGGCACTACCTGAGCTGTCCATGGTGCTGGCGCGGTCCTGAAGCTGCCGGGCGGGACTCCGCGCCGCCGTCCCGACATTCACTCTGTGCTTGACGCCACCCCCACCGCTCCCCGCACTTAAGTCCCCGTTACTGTCCACCAGCTGCAAGGATTCATAACCATCGTTGCTGGTCTTTTTCCGGTAGCTCCCGAGGAGGCTCATGAGCAAACCCAGAGAAGAGAAAAAAAATCAGCCTGGGAAATGAATGAGGAGGTAGAAGGTGGAAAGGACTAAAGGAGAAATTTTTTAAAAAACAAAGAAAGAAAGAAAAAAAAATTATCAAGTGTCCGACATGGCGCAAAGAGGACGGAAAGAGGGAGCGGCCACCGTGGAGGAGCCGTGCAGGGTGCGCGAGGCCACCGCCCTGGGCAGACCGAGGCTCCGGGCGCCCAGCGGTGCTAAGGAGGGAGGGAGGGAAGAACTGGAGGAGGGAGGGGGCAGGGAGAGCGGGAGGGGGCGGGCACGCGTCCTCGGCCGCAGGCGCGCAGCCCGGGGCCCTGCCGAGCTCCAGGCTCAGCGCCAGCCACCCTCTGGCTGGAGAGTGCCCAGAAGCAATCCTATGGGTGTTGCCACGTCGCCCCACAGCACAGCAGGGCAGCTCCAAGAGCACTGGCCCACAGGGAAGGAAGAAAAGAGCGGGAGTAAAGGAAGGGAGATTCTCGGGGAGGTGGGCTGAAGGCGGAAAATGGGGCGGGGTGGGAAGGGGAGGGGACGGCTACGACTGGAGTAGAGGGTGTTTTCGAGTGTGAGGTAAAGAAGAAAGGGGCTGGGTGACTCCGACTGCTAAGCTTTGAGGAGGAGGGGGTCTCTTGGTAAGATCCAGGCACGCCCATTTCGTATAACTTAACCTATATTTGCTGGAAGATTCGGCAAGTCAAAGCCAGTCCAACGATTACTGTCCTGGAGGATGGACTTGCAACTCAACTGAACAGAAAAAAAGAACGCATTTTAAGTCAGGCTATATGTATGCTAGAATAGGAAAAAAAACAGCAGTATTTTTGCACATTTCACATAATGGGGATGATCCCTATGTGGATATCAAAAGAGCTAGCTATTCTAACGCTAGGAGGCAATTAGGGTCCATTCCACCTAGTGAGTATATGTTTAGTGACTATCCGTTGAAGAAATAAATTGAAGAAGCATAGGAAGCACGGTTTATCAGGTGCAATTTTAGATCTGACATTATTTACCTTGGGACTTGGGGAAAGGACCAAACCACTCAGCAGGCTTGAGGGGATGGTTGGGAAGCAAGCTAAACAAGGATGTTTTTTCCATTCTCTAGCCCCTTCCCATTTTTTTCTTTCACAATTTTGGGCAAGGAAAGCAGTCACTCATTATTAGAGGAGAATTTATCATGAAGATAATGAAACTTAAGGGTCAGGGCCTCTTCTTTGCAGAAGCCCCTTTCAAGACTATGTACCTAAGTCAACATTTGTGACTTCATATTCTTATTCTTAAAGTGGACTCCAACACTGTATAAATTTCAAGCCTTACAAAACCTGGATATAACTCTAAGTCTCAAAATGTAATTATGAAATGTTCATTTTCACCTGAATTAATAAGACTGCAGAGGCATTCATCATTCTCATCATTTCAGGTGAAAATTTTGATTAAAAATGATCCTTTTCCCTACTAGGATTTAGCATGACTAAGTGAGCTTCTCAAAAGTCATGACAGAGTTTCATCACCAAAACAAGCAAAAAAAGCGCATGTGTGTAAAATTTGCTTAAGCCCAGACACAAAGCCAACCTTGCCTTCTTCTCACCTTTCATGACTTTCTTCTGCTGTTGTAACTGACTTTGATCTCCTCCGGACACAAAATCAAACTATATCATGTAAGAGACTTCAATCCAAATCATTTGGGACCCAAAGAGTTTCCTGGAAGCTCTAGCTGTACATAGGTCTACATAAAATAAATTTCTTGGGCAGAGAGACATTTTCCATTCAAGGATCACTCAAATGCAAATTATTGTAGTAAGAGGATGAACTGATAGAGACCAAGAGTGCTGTCTTCTGTCTCCAGTTCCTAATCAGTTGCTTTCCTAACGGCATTGCCCGGAGAAAGTATGGTCTGACCTGAATCACAAAGCAGTTAATACTCATTTACAAGATCAAACAACTTGAGTGGTGACTGTTAAATTCTACTAAAATTTTAAACACAACTTTTATACTTCCAATTTTTCAAATCTGTCAGATTGAGCTACATTAGTCACTTGACTGAAGTAATACTCTGTAAAGTCTAGTAAATAAATCTTTTCCAATTATATTTTAAATAATCTTTTTCTATACATTTCCCTCTCTTTTAATTTATTACTGACTCTCAGGGATAGTATAAACCCAGAGTCCATCATGTGCCTTGACCAATTCTGGATTTATAATCACTGGATTAAGGGAATTTAGAGACTATTTTTGAAAAGTAAAAATTATTATCTTCAAAAAGAGCACTCTCAGTTATTTTTGCTCAACTGTTTTCAGAGTTGCAGACATATTGCTGGAAGAAACTTAGATGAAACATATGCCTTTGTATTTTTGGATATCTATCTCCTCAGTTTTCAAATTTAGAGAAAAAACATGAATGGGCCACAGAGACCATTTTATTTTTATCTTTACTCTTAATTTAACATAAATAAAATTCATCAGAATAACTACTAAAAGCCCTACAAAATTAGGGGCATAAAGAATATATTGAGGCAGGAAAATACAATAGCTAGATTAATTCACAAAATTCTAAAAACTAGTATAGGCCTTAAATTGGAATATACGCCAATTTTAACACTGAATTTTTGTTTGCTGTCCTAAGATCAAGTTCATAAAGAGTTCACTTATCCATGAAGATCTCATTTTTCTACCCTATAAAATAGAGCATAATAAAAGTACCTATCACGTATAGAGTAAGTACTTAATAAATATTCTCTATTATTATGACTATCAATCTGGCTTGGACACAGCTCTATCCCCAGTACTTGACAATCCTAATTCCTCAAATGGGAGGAGCTCAACAAAGACTAAATGTTATTTTTTCTGGGACTACACCAATGAAACTTATCTGTATGATTCTGAATGAGAACTTGTGCTTAAGGAAGGGAGATGTTGCTGGTAAAACCCAAGGTGAACATTTAGATCCAAACTCTCCTGTTTTCCCAAGATCAAGATTGCTCCATAATTTACCTTATCTAAAAAATATCACATCACACATGGGCAGAGCCAAAAGATTAGATGTCCTCTTTGGGGGAGAACATTCTTTCCCTTTGCCTTTTTAGTGCTGACTTCTGTCACTTCTATTAACTTAGTGAAGATTATCCATAGAGGAATGTCCAGGAGCCAGCCTCTATTTCGCCCCATCTCCTCCACCCCTGAAATGCTCTCCTGTCACAACAGATGCCACGCTACTGTTGTGGTCGGGATAGGAGCAGATGATTATATGACACGACCTCTCTGGGATTATGATCTGTGCTTTTTGATTCAGGAACTATAACACAGTGGTTAAGACTGAGGTTTTGGAATAATATTTTCTAGGATTGAATCCTAGTTCCTGGGCCTCTCAGTTCTATGACCTCAGGCAAGTTCCTTAACCTCTCTGGATCACTTTTCTCATCTGTAAAATGAGCATAATAATAGTACCATAAGAGTAAGAGTATAGTGAGAATTAAATCAGTACCTAACATAATAGTGCTTACCAAATGCTATCTATTATCATGGTTGTTCTGCTATTTTCATAAGGGTAAGTCATTTTTTTCAAAAATACAAAATTTTTATCTGTAAAATTAGGCTAAATTCTGTCCTGCCTGCTTAAGCAACTTGTTATCATAATGATGTATGATAATAAAATTGTCATATAAAATGTGAAGTAGTTGTTCTGCCTTGTGTTTTTTTCATACATGTCTTTCTCATTAGATTTTGGACTCTTTGAGAACAAAAATCCATGTTTTGTTCATGACTGTAATCCCATGATACCCAAAAGAGCACTTCATACTCATTAGAGACTGAGTAAATATCTATTGAATTAATAAATGAATAAATAAAAATGTATTGGCATCACCTACTCTAGTGATTCTTTAGAAAATTTTTAAATTACTGATTATTAGAGAGAGAGATTTGTTGTTCTACTTATTTATGCATTCATTTGTTGATTCTTGCATGTGCTCTGACTGGGTATTGAAGCCACAACCTTGGTAGGCAGGGATGATGTGCCAACCAACTGAGCTACCCAGCTAGGGTTAGTGATTTTTTTTTAAACTACATGTTGTGATTTTGTGATTGGCAATTCATGGCCATTATTTTAATAAATATGAAACAGGTAGGAAAACGTCAGTTTGGGCACACAGTACAAAATTGTTTCTTGAAATTTTATTTTGGATTTGTGGTGTGTGTGTGTGCGCTCAAAAGATGACATGAATATATTTCTCACTACAGGTCCCAGTATTAAATGTTTGAATGTCTACCTAGGGCCAAACCTCTAGTACTGAAAGGTCCTAGTTTTCCCAATTTTTAATGACCTACATACAGTGATTTCTAAATTCACTTGGACAATTGGACAACAAAGAATTCTGGCTAACAAGACAGTAAATGAGGGCCGAGCTTCTGCTGTGTTCTCTCTGTTGCAAAACACATTATGATTAGGTAACTAAAATGCACTTCTTCAATTTTCTGCTTTAGCTAATATAAATCAATGGATAGTATTGAAACTTTTGTTGGCAACATGCCTCAGGTAGATAATTCAGATTATCTCCTTATTGAATAAGGCCTGTGGATATAGTTGATACAAGGTACTGAAACTGAGACCAAGGTATTCAAACTGGCACCACACATGTTTTGTTTGTCCTGTACTTTAAAAAAGGTAATCTAGCTTAGACGCCTTCAGAGAAGGTAGACAGGCTTCAGTGTGAGGGCCACATTTCATCACCACTTCCCAGTGTATGATACCCAGACTGTCCCACTCATTCCCACTGTCAGTCAGCCCTTGCAGGCATTTGACTTTGAGACCTGCAGTGTAGTGGCCAAAACCAGAGGAGCAACAACACCAAGACAAATGCCAAAAGCTGTATGTTTAGGCTACAGTCCAGAAGAAAGAACAATAGGCTGGGAATCCTCTGCTGCCTCTATTATTAATCAGCAGAGTGGCCTTAATAATCATTCTCTTTCTTTTAGCAATAAAATTGAAG